TCGTTGTTGCCCAGGAAACACAATTAAAGGCGTTTTACTACAGATAATCGACCTGAAATGAAATTGGGGAGGACAAGGAAGAAAGGGAAAAAATATCCCGGTCGGTTTTGTGGAACAGAGATGATGTTTGGCTTGAAAAGATTATGATTCTGCCGTCAGATATTGACTTCATTCAACTTCAGATCTTCATGCGGTGGAAGACGGCGAGCCACAAATCTATTTTTTTCATTTTCTTATGTTAATATTGTAGTTGACCGACCGATCATGAGTTGACCAAAAACAAAGGATGAAACCGTACTCGATTGGGCCCCAGTCTGGTCAACCCAGAACAATAGATTGCTGAAGAAAATTCTCGATTAGAGGCCACATACCACCAGAACAATAGAGGTCACATACCACCATGCATCATGATGAAGGTTGATTAGGACATCGGCTAATCGACAAATCATCAAGACACACTCGTAGGTCAAAGTTCGAAGGTACTAGTCGATTTGGAAAATCCTATAGATCGCAACAAACTAAAATGTTTGATCAGACAAAGAGTTGTAGTCTATGTATACTTTACTAGCTGATTATCCCATGCATGCAAGAAGTATTTGAAGCTCAAACCAATACATCCAGCTATTGATCGGTCCTGCTGATCGGTGTATCAATGGTCATATTTGAAGCGACTAAATTATTTGTCTCGCTAGTTGCTTCTATGTGGGCTCTTGTAAAAGAGTTTAATTTGGAATTTATTAAAAACTGTATCAAACAAGACGAGTCACCAACGAGCCAACTCAGTGAACCGGCTTGCAGACCATTATTGGAGTCAACGGTTTCTCTTAGAGTGCTAAATTGCTAATTATGCATAGCTAACAACTTCAGTAGAACTCTTCCAAACATATTTGTCAATAATACCAAGTTAAAGACTTGACATTAGTCACAACCATTTGGAAGAAAAACTTTCAAGATCCATGATCAACTGCAAAGCAATGGAGTTTCTAAATATGAAAAGCAAAAGAATCAAAGACAAGATTCCATCTTGGTTGGGTTCTTTGCCATTGCTATATATCCCTATCCTTCGATCAACTGAATTTTATGGATCATTGTATAAGCCCATCTATCCATTGGATTTGAAAGTTTTAAAGTCTTCGATATCTTACGTAATCACTTCTATGGAGCTTTTGCAAGCTTTCTACATTACCAGTTGGCGTGAAACAACCACATTTACGAAAAAAATATGATTACCTTAATACTACATGTCTTATGCTAATGTGTATTGTAATTCGATGGGAATGGTGCATAAAGGAGTATATACGGAATGAAAAGACTTCAAGGCTATTGACTTTTCTGGAAATAAATTTTGTGGATATATATCCATGAATCCATTGGACTACTGAAGTAATTTTGTTTTCTAAATTTGTCAGGTAATGCATTCACAAGAAGGATCCCAAAATCAATGAAATATTTAACAAAGCTCGAGGAACTAGACATGTCCCCGAATCAACTATCAGGTCAGATTCCTTGAGGCTTAGCAACCTCTCTTTCTTGTCAATGCTGAATCTTTCAGAACAATCTCGAAGGTCCAATAGCACGAAGCACACAATATCAAAGTCAAGATTGTTCTTCATTCATGGACAACCCCAAACTCTACGTTCTTGAGGAAATATGTGGAAAAACTTATTTCCTGAATCCACCATCAAAAGAGTCCAAATTAATTGTCAGAGTCTAAAAATGAAATGATTAACGGGATAGCAGCAGTATAGATGTTGTGATACCCTGAGCCCACCTTTCCTCGGTGCATTAGTCTGAGAGGACTGTAAGACTTGTTTATTTACCTTACAAATCATTACGTGATATTTTCACGTGTTTTTTTCTCATTCACACGGTACTGCGACCATTTCCTGGTAGATCATCCATCCTGAGATTTTTTCAGCTTAAAGTGCTTAACTTTGGAGTTCTCTCAAGACTAGTGCCCGAAAAGATAAGTGCACTTTGATGATATAAGTAGTCAAATCAAATTCTATAAGTCTCTTGGCATATACCAGAAATCAAGATGTTACAGAT